TTTCCTGACTAGCTAGTCTAAAGTAGCCTTCATCAGTAACTTTTTAATACCCTGCTTAATTTTGCCACTATCTGAAGTGTACTAGTCTGTTCATTCATTAATTTAACAAAATTTCTGTCTCATTCTGCCCCCAAGTCCTATCCCCATACATAAGCTGCTTGGGAACAGGGACCTTGGCTATCTTGATTACTACTGTATCACAGCACATGGCACACAGTTTCCAATAGTAGTTTCAGAAAAAATTATGTGAAAGGAAGTTAATAGATGTGAGAAAATGACGTATTTTTACTACAACAGATCAGCTTGGAAAACCTAGGTATGTTAGACCCATTCATATCTAAGTTTGGTCTATTGGTTAAGGGCATGAAGTCAGATAGTCTAACTATACCATTTCCTAACTTGGTTGTAAAAGTGGGCAAATAACTTAATCTCTCTGTACCCATTTTCCCATTTGTAAAATGAGAAGAGTAATGACCACACAGGGTTGTGGTGGGGACTAAAGAGATACTGAAGGTAGAGGATTGAGAACAGTGTGTGACCCATATTAAGTGTTCAATAAACATTGCATCATTTCTCCATTAGGTCCAATCACTAGTCCACGGCGAGGAACCTACAAAGGTGGATGGAGCACGTTTTCTTCACACCAGGAAGCTGGCAGAGGTCGAGCACCTTGTTGTAAGAGATCAATGACCAAAATGAAACACCAGAGCTAGGTGACTTGAAGTGAGAAGGAGTGCTGACTCATAAGGCTTGAGATGGCAGGAGCAAAGTTTGTAATTGGTATAGGCTACTCTTCAAAGATGTGAGGCTACTAACTGTAGACAAACACTCTTATGGTTCCAGAGATGTACTAGCAGGTGCCCTGGGCCTACTTAAGGTACAGGGTAGAATACTTAGGACTATCTTAAACTATCTGCTTACCTGTTGAAAGGAGAGAGTGAGCCTTGTATTTCTGCACTTGTATCATTTCTCTTTCAACCTATTTTGTTTATTAATCATATAGTTTCCGTTAGTTTTGTGCCTGTTGTAATTCTGGTATAATTTGCTTCAGAGGAAAGAAAAATCATCATTTCAGAATAAAGGGCAGATGACCCAGAGTTTTAAGTATAAAGTCCCTGACATCAAACAAAATGGTTATCTCCACAGCTAAGAGTCATCCCTGACTATTAGTAGTAAATGAAGAAAAGGAAGAGTCACTTTCTATGCACATATTTTAGAATAAGAAGTTATAGGAAATGCCAAACTGGGTCAAGCCAATGGCTCATACAACTGCCACAGTGTTTGGTCTTTGATGGTCACTCTCAAGGAAGTCTGTTAACAGGTCTGATAATTGTCCCTCTTGATGCTAGTCTTAGATTAAAATGTCCTACCAACAGCTCTTTAGTTTAATATCATATACTCTTTCCTCTGTCTCTTCTTTTCTAGATAGAGCTATCTAATTAACTGGTAATCTCATCAATTTTCTCAAAAAGGAAGGGATTGGAAAGAAATTTGATAGGTATTAAACTCAATATATATCAAGGTGTAAATGGCACATGGAAATAATCATGTATTTTCTCTTAAACCAAAAGCATTCTGGACATGTGTCCCTCTGCTGAGAAGCAGTTCCTAAAGAGACAGTAACTGACAATCAGACTAACTTTTAAGAACATAAAAAATATTTCAAGAACTTTAGAAGATGAATTTCATTATTTGCTAGGAAGACACTAGTGGTTAAACTAATATGCTTTCTATGCTGTTTACATATAATTGATTTTATATAATAATCAAACTCTTTTATATTTGCCAATAATACCTATCAAGTAAATGAATAGAAAAGTTTACAGATTTTTGTTGAAACCTCTTGCCAGTAATTTTGAAAGATGAGCACTTTTGCTGACAATAACATAAAAATGTTGACTTTTACAGAGCCATCTCTACTTTCTAAAGAACCTGAATATATATACATGACCTCATTTTACTTTATAACAACCTTAGGAGATACATAGAGTCTGGTGTCAGGTTTACATTTTGCAAATACAAAAACATACACAGAGAGGTTAAGTGATTTCTCAAAGTCACACAGCTGATTAATTACCAGGCCAAATAATAGAGTTGCTCTCTCTTTCTCCAATTTAGTCCATCACACAGTATTTTCCTAGATTTTGTGGACAAGTAAAATTTCAAAAAACATTTTAGAAGACCCAAATAGGGTTGTCAATTTTGTTATTTTTCCAGAGAGAGGGAAAAATAAATATATAACTTCTACCTGCTATTTATATCATATCATAAAACTGTCTTTTATTACCCCAAAATAGGAAAAACATCATCTTAGGAAAAGTGCAGTCCTTTTAATTAATAAAATTTGCCTTATGAGAAAGTTACTATTTTGTCATTTTTTTTCTCATTCTGCTGTTACCCACAACTCCTGCTGCGGTCTAAGAACTATTAGACCAATACTTGTAAACCATTTCCCTCTTTTGTGCTGTTTCAAGTCTTACTAGCTTTTCTACTTCTTTTGCTCCTTGCATTTCATAGTCTTTAACAAAAAGAAACCAACATGTGCCAAGTTTTTCCTTTTGAAAGATATTGTTCTTCTACTAATATCTTAACAAAAATTATTAGCATCACATATTTAATCCCAGTCAAAACAGAGGGCTGTTGGCTGACCAGGTATGACCAGGCTGAGGACTAACAAGGAAACAGGAAATGCATAAACAACATAGGACCTGTTACAGTAACATTCCCCCCCCCCCCCCATATTACTTTGATAAGAAGCAAGGACAAGACAAAGGCTTTCTGCCTGGCTTCTCATTTCTCACTCCACTTCCAAACTCATCCAAGAAAATGTGATGGCTCTTGTCTATGCAAAGACTGTACCATATCTGTCTTTACTTCCACAAAGCCTGCCGTGTTCCTTCTTCCAGACTTGGTTTTATAGTCTGCAATAATTTCCCAAGCCTTATATGACAAATAGATATTTAATTTTACAAAACTTTATAAACTACCATTGTATTCTACCAAAGGGATGGAGGTTGGTTTTGGGGACACTCTTAAAGTGACATTTTCCATGTTGACTATTGATAAGCTGATGTGAATGTGATGTTTTAGTACACATCAAAAGGAATAACCATCAAATCCCATTCAATCTTATCATCTTGACCAATGCAGTATCTGTGATCTTCTTTGATGACTTCCTTAAGCTTTGGGAGGGAAATATATGAATGGTACAGTGAAAGAGAAAAGGTAGCCCAATCCGACAAATCAAGCCCTGTGATCAAGTGTCAAAGCAAGAATATCCCCAACCCAACCAAGTCCCATGTAGAAAGAGGCTCACCAATAGGATGGTTTGTCAAAGAAAGTCCCTTAATGTTTGGCTAAGGACTACATTCTCCAAGGATGTCAAAGTAACATTTTCTAAAAAGTCCTTAAATATATACAAATTTCAACCACAATAAAACTTTTTTCTATAAATAGAGAAAGATAAATGCCTGTATATCACCAAATGATCACAGATTAATAATATTTTTATTTGTGTAGTTTTATGGTATACAAAACATTTTTAGCATATGGTATCATTTCTTAGGAATATTCTGAGACAGGTAATATTATTTCCATCTACTGAAGAAGAAGCTGAGACTCAGGCATTGTGTGATGTGCTCAAGGTCTCACCAACAAGAGCTAGAACCCAAGTCTGGTCTTTTGACTTCAAGTTCAGGGCTCTTTCTGTTACTGACATTCTTAACCAAGACAGTGACTTCTAAAGGTGAGCCCAGGCACAAAAAAGAACAAATGAAAGCTGGCTTTTATTCCAATCAGGGCAGAAAGCCAATCTATTAATGTCAGAACGAAGGGCTGCCCACACTGTTAAAGAATCTGGAGGGGTCACAGTTTTCTTTAGGTTCTTCACTATTACTACAATGCCATGCCATCTGTGTTCTTCCTATTCAGTTCCTTAGAACTCATCACATAGTAAGCCAGTATAGGACAGCCATGAGCTCAGAGCAAGAGAAAACATCAGTCATTCACAAAAAAAAAATCATTTGGAATAATTTTCATAATACCTGTTCTTCCAAAAAAAAAACATTTTTATGATGCTAAATTTAAAATATTTAAAATTTAAAATATTTAAAATGGAGTTATTGCTAATCACCTATTTCTGTGGCTTATATACAGGGCAAGAACTATCTGAACTACGTAAAATAAATTTTATACAATCTATACTTCAGTAAACAAAACAAAAAATGTAGTTAAATTATACAAATCGGATGACTATGCAAGATTAATAGATATTTATTTACTGTGTAAAAATACACAGTTGTTGCATAAAATGTTTATAATGAAAAAGCTTGTCCATTTTAAGTATAGACAAGTCTTAGAAGTCAAATTAGGGCTGTATTTTCTGAAATTAATAACTAGTATTAACTCAAACCAAAAGTTTGGACAATTATTAAGTAATGCTATTAAAATTATCATGAACATTAGTCTTGCTGCTTATTATGACTCTTCTTTTTCCATATATTTTTCCTATCTTATGATTTTTAAAAAACAGAATCATTAGGAATCATTTTCAACACCAGGGCACATAAGGTAAGCTAGATACTGTTATTTCTTTGCCCCCAGCTCACATCATTTAGACTGATTAAAATGTTAATTTTTCCATATGTGAAGAAATGTAAAGGAGCAAACAACTGGAGACTGCACTGTGTGCTAGCAATCATTGCGGGTGGGTAAACTGACAACATGTAACTGCATATTAAGACAAATGTAGAATTTAGACAAAGTATTCCATCTCTTTTCAGATGTATACTTTTAAACCTCAGGAACTGTTTTCAGTAGATGTCATGCCTTTTAACTTGAAAAAAGATAAGCGCAAATAAGCTCCCAATTGTCTCCCCAATATGTAAACCACATCTCGGGCTGCTGTCTCTGCTACTCCTTTGAAGTTTCCCTGAAATGTCATGTGTTGTGAAGACTGCTGTGCATAAGCAAGACAATTTGCTCACTCTCAGAATTCTTACCGGTTTCCACTGCTATTTGGTATCCAGCCTCTAGTCTCCGAGATGACCTTTCCAGCCTCTCTGTGTTATCGAGCAGATGTGCCCTCTGAAAAAGAAAAAGGGAAAAAAATCAGACGGCCGTCTACAATGTTCTTTTTTTGCCTTAAAAAAAAATTAATGCCTTCTTATGTCCTATCACTTCTGGGGCGGGGGGAGATACTATGCATTATAGATAATTTTTAGCAAATCTCCTATGGGCAGATTTCCAATCAATCAATTGTGTACGGATCATCCAGTTTTTTGTTTTAAAAGGCAGATTCATGTTGTATGTGGTCACATGAATCTTATTCCCAAACACTGACAAATGTACGAAGATGAGAGCCAACTGGATCTTTCCTGTTTCAGCAGAGTAGATATATGAGACACTTGCATAGATTTATGATCCTTATTTTGTATTTATTTTTTATAAAATGCCATCATTAAAAAAACTCATTTGCTCCTTTGATTCCTGCAGATAGTAAATTTTAAACAGAAACTTTATTTTCAAGAGAATGCTCCCCAATTTTGGATGTGTGGCAAGATGCCATATAGAACAACATTTGCTACTAGAACAGAATATTAAACAGCAGATTTGGTTTTAAGACAACTCGGGGCAACCACCAAGAAACAAGAGAAACACATTTCTGCCTGCACACAGATACACAAAAATGTGAGTTAGTTCCAAATATAGGACACTAGATTGAGGGTGAACTTTTGACTCCTCCTGTTTTAGACTGAACTAAACTGATAATAATTATATGTACTCTTTTATGCTATATTTGATGGGGAAATGAAAGTATTTTCCCATAATTCTCCATGTCTCAACTTTCTTTTCTACACTGAGGCTGATTTTTTGGTTTTGTTTTTTTATCCATAGTGATCAGTCACTCGATCAGTCAGGTTGACCAACATATTCATAAACTAATCATAGCTGTGAATGAGTAAGAATGTATGCATGCACATGTGAATGTGTGTGTGTGTGTACAGATGCACATACGTCTGGATACTAGAAATATATGAATATGTGTATCTGTATATTTCTGTGTGTGTACACGCATACATGTATTTGTATAAATTAGTACTCCCCCTCCCCCCCCAAATCAGTTTTGGTATCTGGTCAAACGGTAAGAAAAAAATGCAGCCACAACTCCTATAACTTTGTGTTGTTGACAGATGTCATTTAAAATCGAAGAAATGCTTTCTAATAATAATAAAAAAGGAGGTGCCACACATATTATCTGAGTGGCTGTCGAGCGAAACGATCTACCTTGCTCTAATGAGCCCCCATGGATCGTGGAGATGCAAGCTGTATTGACATGCACACTTAAGCTAATACACCTAGACCAGTGCCTCCAAGCTCTAGCAGCCAGGGATGCTGACAGACTATCTCGCTTCCATCTTCAAAGAAAGGAAGTGATTAGTATGTTATCATTACCATTCAAAACGTGATTTCCTTATTCCCTCCCGGCATAGGTGACACATCTGAGATGCGGCCAGACGTTGGAGGCAGCTAAAGCCACATCAAAGCTTTCCTTGAAAATTTTTTTTGGGGGGAAGGGCCTGGGGGGGGGGGCGCGGGGGGGGAGAGAATCATTAAAACAATGCATTTCGAACAGAGAGATAGGACCTGATGTGAAGGTCAGGAAAGCTGCAACAACAGTCTATAATAATTAATAGAGTTGTCTAATATACAGTGGAGAAATTAAGAGAAAAGCTGCCCCTCCCTCCACACACAAAAAAAAAAACTAAATAAATAAAAGGGAGGAAGGAAGGAATGCTTATATCATGAAAACGCTAAATCACTGAAGGCTGTAATTGAGAAAAAGAAAAGCAAGAGGAGCTCTCTGTGTTTGGTATACATGACTATTTTTAAATAAAATTAAACACTTCACTCAGCTTATCAAAAATAGCTTTCTTCCTCCTAATTTTCTCTATACGCATGTTTTAGGAGTAGGGAGTATTCTTCCCTTCTCTGAATATTGTTCTCTACTCTAACAAAGGACTTAATTTCAAACTGGTAATTCTCTTAAAATATATCACATTTGTGAAATCAAGAGTAAATCTGAATTGGAATTCTGAATAACAGAACAAAAATTTTGGGCTCATTTTCATATTGGATGAAATCCCTAAATTAAAAGAAAACACTTAGCTACTGTAGAATTAAAAAAAAATCAAAGATCAATACTGGGAATGGACACTCTAATTATATGATAATAGATGGTGTAAGAAACAAAGCATTTAAATGTAAAATGATTCTTGGAATTCCACGAAGGGGAGCCAAAGCAGATTATTAAGTGTATGGCTCTAACGGGGAGCAAAATTTCTAAAAGATTGTTTTTTAAAAAAAGATATCTTCCTAAATAATGGAAGCAACTCTTCTTCAGGACAGTTTATCAAGAGCAAATCTGCACACAAGAGGACTACCAGTTTACCAGCAAGCTTTCCAGCAGGACCCCACTTTGTATTTTGGAACCTCTTCACTTAAGTCAAGCTAAAATCAAGTTCTTGTAACAGCTGTGCTATTTACATTGTTCCCTTAGTTGTGCATTGCCCTGGTCTCTGAAAATGAAAGGAAATACACTACAGTAGCAGCTGATGCTTTCAACTTGCCCCCACACTCCATCCCAAACTCATTCTCTCACCCTCTCCTCAGCCCTTTCAAAGCAGGTAAGTGAAGCTGTGCAGGAGCTTCAGACAGAGCTCCACTTGCATGAGGAGCTGTGCAATGTGGCGAACTGGAGATGCAGGATTCAGCACAGCCAACACCAGTTCAGCTGCCTGTGCACACCAGCCTGCCTCCAAGCATGCCCCGTTCCCAGAACTGAGCCGGGAAAGAGCATCACAAGGAAGGGATGGGGCACACTCTGTATCCAAACACAACCTAACATCCTATTTTGTAGCAGACTAGTGCCTGTGTTCTTAGAAGAGGTACAAGGAAGAAATCTGGGGTACACTCACTGTTTGATTACTATTTGAATCCTGGCTGAGAAACAATCTCTTTTGAGCAAACCATATACCAATGCACTGCCATCATCATAATCTATTTTACAAATATTGATGCTATATACATATCAAAGACTGTTAAAAGAATATTCCAGAGTATATTATTCTATTAGTTGAATGATTTAATTCTTCCAAGTACAATTCCATTCCGGGTTATAGTTTTGGAAACACGCAGCCCAGAGCCATTATTGATGAAACAGTTGCTATAGGCACAACAAAAGAATTAAGCCAAAAACGATGATAAAACTGTATTTTACAAGAAATGGAGACGTGAGGTTTTCAGCTTTTAGAATTAAGATTTCTAAGTCCATACAATTCAGCTTAACAAAAATAAATCTGTCAAAAACGCCGATTGTAATAAGGCCTAATATTTTATTAATTATATTCACTAAATTCAGGAGAAGAGCTTCGTGTAGTTTCTTCATATAGAGGTTTGTGCGTCTATTGTTAGTTCCATTAAGATTTGAAAACATATTCTTTACCTAAGCATGAGCATACACAAATACACATAAAGCAGATATTCTGGCTTGCAGGAAAATAATGTTGAGTATCAGTCACCTCAGGAATAATCTTATACAACAAAACTACAATTGATTATATTCACTTAGCATATACATCTGCTATCATAAAAAACACAAAAATGTTGGAGGATAAGGGTTTTATATATTTTCACCCTTTATTTTATATATCATTATTACTTTTACTAAGAGAGGACATCACTAGAGTATCTTAAGTCAAAAGGGTTGGTGAAAACCACTGTCTACAAGCCTCTCATTTAGCATTCATGTCACCTATAGAATGATGACATACTAATAAAAAAATTCTAGGAAAATCTCAATCAATGCAGTCAGTCTAAACTCAAAAATAATTCGTAGTACTCTTTATAAGCAATTAGCTTTCAAATTGCAATACGGGCCATTATTTTATGTCCTAATATAAAAGCAACAAAACTCAACCTCACTAAGCAAAAAAAAAAAAAAAAAAAAAGTAACTCTAATTAAAAAATAAAAACAAAACAAAAAACACAATATAGAAAACAAGACCAGAATCATTCAGCATCCCTCATTGATACAGGGATAAAATGATAAACTTTGCTGTAAATATTTGCTGGGACACAAAAAAGTCCAGAGATGCATTATAAAACAGGCCAGCAACTCAGGAAAATGAGAACTCACTTGGGTGCTATTTCCTACAAAAAGGAAAGTGTTTAACAATGAGGAGAGCTTTGGCTATTCTTAAGTATCTGTGTACACATTCTAGTAGAGCATTTATAACATATGGGTGTTTCTCTAAAAGGAAAACAGATTCGTGGTATCTTGTGTTGAACCTAAGAATTTTGGGTGAGGGAAAAGAGTATATTTAAAAAAATTTTTCAGTAAATTGGAATGTCAGGGGGAAAAACATTTTAATCACATTGACTTCTTTGAGAAACCAATACAAATAAAATAAACCTGAAGTTAGTCTACATTAACATTAAAACTACACTTGGATAAAGTTTTAAGATATCCTTTTATTTTTCCTTCCTTTTTTGGCCTTTAAAATATGAATTTTCTCCGGATGTCAACCAACAACAACGATCACTGTGATAAGCATGATTAGGGTTTACTTGTTTTTTAAAAGATAGTCAGCAGAGAACATTGCTAGCCATATAATCAATATTTTTGCTATGTGTAAATTTTCCTGGAAAAAATGAACCCAAAGATCTTACTTCAGATTTGGAAACTCAATTTTATAGGAAAAAGCAGAATTAAAAAAAAAAAAAAAAAGCAAGCTAGGAAGTACTCACCTCTTCACGTAATTTTATCAACTGCAACATGAATGCACCAAAAAAAAAGATAAAAAGGAAAGAAATGGCAGGAAGGAAAGATCAGTTGTGTGACAGGATACAGAATTAACATTGACAATTTATCTGTTTACATGTTTAGCATTTAAAAATCACAGACAAACACATTAAAAGAACCTAAACATAGACTACATGCAGAGTTTTTTGAACGAATAAAGATCACTTTCTCACACTGTCACATTAAACAAAGAGAATAGTGTGAAATTCTCTTTTAAAGTACA